ACGGTGGGGAGCTGTGTGTGTAGGGGTGGACTTGTAAATGATTTAATATTTGCTTTTGTTCCAGTGAACATATCTTTTTGTCTTCTCTCTTCTTCTTTAATTTTTAGCATGAACTGCGGGGGGGGGGGGTAAATAACTACCTTTTCCTCATGGAACTGAAAAGATTTATTTAAATGTTCCATAATACATCAATAACAAAATACTGTGTTTCTGAACCCATGCAAGATAAATGATCTAAAAACAGGCACATGAGGGTTAGAGACAGGGGTAAAAGCTCTCTTTCATCTCATTATCATGTGATTAGAGGACTTTTCCATGATACAGTGCGAATGTTCCTCTGTTTAAAGGGAATTTTATTCCCTTTATAAGAAGAAGACTTTATATATGCGTAATATAAGAAGACATGTATTACAAGAAGACTTCTTGGTTATAGACTGTTCTTGGGTTAGATGCTTTCACATCTTTCTTACTTAATCTGTTCTGCTCTGTATAATTAAGCATTTACTACATTATGAACTGGATTCTACATGTCCCCGATCCAAGGATCAGGTTTTGTTCTGTTCAGTAACTGCACAAGTATTTTATATAAAATGGAACTCTTGCAGCAAAGAGGGTTGAGGTATTTACTGTGCTTTGAAAATCCTCCGTGACTTTGTCAGGCAACTTCCCCAGGAATCTGACAGACCTGTGTTCAAATTTATTCTACTTGATTCAGGGCAGGTAGCTGGTTCAAAGTCTAGTGGCCTGATCACAAGACTGTAGGCTATTCTTGCATAAATCTGATTTACAGTGGGTTTTTAAATACTCATTGCGTAATAGAGAATGATTCCTTCTTTTGAGGTATCTCTATATATCTAAAAGTTATTTGGTGTTTTTTTGAATAGCCCTGAGATTATTTACTGAAAATTTACTGTTCAGGAAATCTTTTCTATGTATTTGTATGGCAGTAGAATCTATGGATAAGAAGGTGACTGCGTAGGTAGAAGGGAATGATGGTATGAAGCAGAAGCTTGTGTTGGGGTGTGAGGGCTGAACGTGACTAATAAATCTGTGGAGCAAAAAAGCTGTATATGGGAAAACGTCTTTGTGGATGGAAGGAGACTGAATCTCTGTTTGAACGCTTCGTATAGAGTAAGTGCAATATTTGTGTTAGGGTCTCAGGCAGGATAATTGGACAACATCTGGCACTTTTGTTAAGGCTGTTTAATAATCTGCATAGCAACTAATGCTATGTATATTCATTATGTTTTGTAACCCAGAATGATTCATCCATTCTGTATCATATCAGGCAAAGTAACTGATGTAACGTTAAGAAAATCTAGAAGTTGAGAAACTCAGAGTCCAAAGGGTTTTAACTCAGTTGTGTTGTAAATTGTTGGTACATTTGACAGACAGTTTGCCTTAGTAACATGTGCTGCAGAGGGTTTTTTTTCCAGAAAAACAAGGGAAAAGCTCTACGCTTTACTTGCAAATGTTGTGATTCTTATAGATCCTTAGATTATACATAAGATAACTGTACTGTTAATGTTGGGTTTAACATTCCCTGATACCAGCTAAGCACTCAGACTGCTTAGTGGGTTTGGATAATTTACTGTCTTGTTAATAGTGTCGTTGGAGAATGTAAGTGCAGTACGTACCAGCCTTGATAAAGATTGATGTTTACAGTCTGTTTGGTACATCACTAAATTTCTAAATTGTCGATGAATTATGTCTCTCTTTTTCTCCCTTTCTAAGATACTACGCGTATCTTCAGCAAGCTCAAGCGTTTTACACGTTTCCATTCCATCAGATGATGACTGCAACGCCTAACATGGAAATCATGAGTGAGCAGCCGACTCTAGAGGGCGTTCCAGAGCCAAACATTGCTCAGGAGCCTCCAAAAGGTAGGTTGACCAGGCTGTGCTAAGTGAGCTAAAACGTTAGTAATCGATTGCGGGGGGAAGAAATTACCGATCTCAAACTGCTTCTTCGGACCTATTGGATTTCTTTATGCTCTTTGAGGAACTATTGATTAATTGTATTCTTTAAGTAATGTTTGTTACCAGACAATTAAAAAGATAAGAAGTAAACCCAGGTGATAGTATTCACATTGTTCAGTCTCACAACATTACCTTGTTCTAGGAAAAGCAGGGTTTTGTTTCAATAGATAAACATAAATTTTAGCTTATTTCATGGTTTTTAATATGTTGGAGAAGCTTTCTTTTTTCAGTCTGAGTTCCAAATTTTTTTTTTAATTTCTGCAAGAGAAGTACAGTGTAATACTGTTTATTTGAAATATTTTTGTTTAAATGGTGTTTTAATGAGTTGCACTGTAAGCAAATAGTGAATTGCTTATACACACTAAGGTTTGTTTAGTTTTAGTGAGGCTTATTTAAACAAATACAAACAATGCTGTGTTGCATGTGTCTTGTATGTGCCACAAGTTTCATAGTTTATTGCACTTGTACATTGCCTTTATTTTTCCCCCACCAGTATTTTGTACACTTAGGTTTTATACTAACCATGCCAAGAAAAGATCTCTTGTTCTGTTACTCTTATGCTTGCTCTTTACTACATAAAAAGGCAGTGATGTCTGCCATGCTTAAATTCTGATTCTATAGCAAATATTCACATGCTGAGTTTCGTTTCGCTTTTCATATATAGATACAGGTCAGAGCTGTCTGTACCAGGGTAATCTATCAGCCAGTTCATGCAATCACATCCTTTTATAAGCTTCAGTTTTTCTTTTTTTAGTTGTAATGCTTGGCCAAATGAAATCATAGGAAGAAAACCTCCATTTTTAAAATTGTTGCAACTGCTTTATTCGTTCACAGTATTATTCACTACAGCTAGGAAGCATCTTAAGTGCTATATAGTTAGGCTTCTTTTGCAGCTTTATTATTGTGTAAGATGATGTCAACATGACCACACTGTTTGACTACACTTTCAAGTATTTTTAGACAATTGTAATCTTCTGTTATGAAGCTGTTCCCTAATATTTTTGCAAGAATTGAAAGCTGAGTAAGGCCTTCAAAAGCAAGGCTTGAAGATTTACCAAATGTGTGTGAAATCTGCAGGAGCATTTATGAACTGCAAACATTTGGAGTCCAGCCTACCTGCTGTGATAGAAAAAGTAAAATTTTTAGTATTACCCTCTGAAGGGCTGCCATGGCATGGTTCATTGTTACCTACCTGATCAGCGTGAGAGTTAGGAGAACATTATCCTGCTTCATTTGAAACATCCAACTCAGAGCAGCCAGAGTATATCTGTGGCATTTTGCCGTCACATGAAAAACCTCCGAGTTCTTCAAGGAGTAGGAGAGAAAAGCTGCTAATGTGCCTCACCAAGTCTGCGCCCTTCTCGTCTCTCCTTCACTGTAAGCTTGAGTACTGCTACTTACATCTTTCCTAAGCAGTTGCTCCAGTGATGTGGTGGGACTTTCACATGACTTTTGTCCTTCTTCTAAGAAAGCTTGAGTGCAAACAAAACCAGCCCAAACTTTCATATTTAGAAGCTGAAGTGTGGATAGTAGACTAGAACTTGCTGTCCCATTCCTGGGAACCTAAGCTTTGATGTTCTGGCATAACCTCCAAAAGAAATTAAACTGTTTCTGAGGGATTGTTACATATGGCAACTAAGCAACATAACCTAGTCATGAGGTTATTCTTGGTTGTATCCTAAGTCAGTGTGGTTGCCAGTGAGTAGTGTGTATCTGTGGTACAGCAACACCCAAGCTAGCCGTGTGTTGAGCCTGGAAAACCAAGATTCATCTGATAATTGTTTAAATTAATGAATTTTGAAGGTAAATTTATCTGTCTGATTTCTCTTTCTATCCATACATTTAGCTCAGTGTTTTTGAATGTCCACACTGCAACATTAGAAATGTACAAAAAGGATATTTGCTGTGTGTTTCAGAAGTTAAAAAAGGAGGAAGGAAAAGAAAAGCCAAAGCAACTGAGCCAAAGCAACCCAAAAAGCCTGCTGCTAAAAAAGAAAAATCAGCCAAGTCAAAAGGCAAACAAGAAAAGATCACAGATACTTTTAAAGTCAAAAGAAAAGTGGACCGTTTTAATGGTGTATCTGAAGCGGAACTTCTGACCAAGACTTTACCTGACATCTTAACATTTGATCTGGACATTGTAATAGTAAGTAACTCACAGTTACAAGATCGGGTAGAAAAGTGAAGTAGTCTGTACTCACTGGTTAAGATTTACATTCTTTCTGCTTACTTATCTGTATTGCTTATGTGGCAAGATCTTGCAAGATAAAGTATATAAACTGTTTCCTGTCTGTAGAGCTGCTTTGCATTTTCTGTTAAAAATCATAGTTCTAACTTCTGAGAAGTCTTAAGGCTACTACATAGTCATGAGAGACCGTTACTTGACACTTTATTTACTGGAAGCACTACACCAGTGGCTGTAAAACACAGCTCCTCTTTTGACATTGCACATCTAAATGAGACACTGCTGTATCATTGTCAATTTTTTAAAATAATTATGGAAGTTACTATTAACACAGTTTTGTTTATTGACAGTTACTTAAAGAGAATTGACTAAGTGTCCTGACGGTAACTTGATTAAATTTCTGACTAGCAGGCCATGTTCTCATTGTTAAAATGGACTGGTGTCTTTGTAGATTGGCATAAACCCTGGCTTGATGGCAGCTTACAAAGGACATCATTACCCTGGACCTGGAAACCATTTTTGTACGTTTTTGTTTTCTTTTCTTCCTATACAATTTGCAGAACTTTGTTAGAACTTGTGGCATTTTAAACAAACTGGTTTGGTTTTTGCTCTTTTTTTTTTTTTTTTAATGTAGAGAGGGATTTTGCTTTTAACCATCCCAGAGTGATTTAAATCCCCTAACTACTTCTGTCAAATACTGAACATAAAAAGGAATAAAAGAGGAATAATCAGTGACTTTCTGTGCAGGTTTAGAATTGACATGTAAACACAGTTTACCAGATTATATTACCAAATAACATCTTTGTGTGTTAGTGTGCAACATAAAGAATAAAAATTAAATCTCTAGTACTTGAGTTACCAAGGGTAAGTCAATACGTATAAAATAAAACTACAGAGTTTTTCCGAAAAATGCATTTCAGCAAGCCCTCTTCTGTTTGCATTTATTCATCTCTTCTAAACAAGATTTCTAACTGATGAAAAAGCAAAAACCATTGCCATTTCCCAGCAGGCATATACATCCAGCATACCTGATTCTCTGGACAGGTATTTTTTTCCCTAGGTATTTTTCCATTTTAAGTTACATTTCCTGCAGCACATTCTCCTAAAGAAAGATCGTACGTGACCTCTGTTGAAATGCTCTGTTTTGTGTACTGGGAGCCATTCCAGCTGTGGTAGTAGGGAGCTCCACATGGGCTCATGTGCAGCCCAAAATGCTTCTGGTGTACAGCAGACTTGTAAGTCAGGCTTGGGTATTTCTCCAGGGCCTCCTTCACGGAGAAGCAGACCAGATACAGGTGCTCTGGCAAATCCAGGTGTTTGTAAGCTTCCCAGATCATTAGGAGCTAGCTGTGGTTAATTTGTGTTTAAGAGATTGGCAGTGCACAACACCCAAACTATACTTTAATACGCTAAATATGAAAGTAAGGTATCAACGGGGTCTGTCAGAGAGGCCCAGTGCAGGACAAGCGATGACAGGGTTGTAAAAGAAAACTGACACTTGTTGCACTTGCTATCTTCTTTTCCACAAAAATCCATATTGATCACATTCACTCCCTGATGAAGTGAATCACAAAATCTAGAGCTGTTTCTGAACAGCTGGTTCAGAAAGTCTGGTTTCCATACACAGGATCCTGGTGAAGGAATTCCTGTTGTTCACTAGGGATTTTCTATCCTTTTGCAGTAGATAAATTTTGGCTATTTTAAACTTTTCTAGATAGGGCAGTAGTCTTCTAGAAGTAGCTGATGCTCTTTTAACAAAAACTTTTCCCGTAGTACTCAAGTACTCTGATAGTTGAGGGGGTTTTTTAGTTTTGTTTTCTTTTCTTAGAAAAAGGCAAATGCATATATATCTTCCTATTTCACAGGGAAGTGTCTGTTCATGTCTGGTCTAAGTAATGAACAGCTGAACCATATGGATGACCACACCTTGCCACATAAATATGGGATTGGATTTACAAACATGGTTGAAAGGACAACACCTGGAAGCAAAGACCTTTCCAGGTAGGATAACAAGGGGAAATAGCATGCTTGTTAATGAATTAATAGTTGTGATTATAATTTTGAGTACTTTCTCTCTTAGCAAAGAGTTTCGAGAAGGAGGACGAATTCTGATGCAGAAGTTACAAAAGTATAAACCTCGTATAGCAGCTTTCAATGGAAAATGTGAGAACTCTGATTTTTAAATGAATTTGTTGTGTCAGTAGCTTGGGGTTTTTTTTGTTTGGGTTTGGCGGGATTTTTTGGTCCCCTTATCCTATCTTCTTTTCATTTTAGGTATTTATGAAATTTTTAGTAAAGAAGTTTTTGGAATAAAAGTTAAGAACTTGGAATTTGGACTGCAGCCACACAAGGTGCCAGATACAGAAACGGTAAATATTGGTAGTGAGAAATAAAACCAGGGTGCTCCATTTTGGTTATTTCAAAAGTAACAAAGTCTCGGGACTTGCACGCACTTGCAGTAATGTTAAAGTTTGCCCAAAGTACAAGGGATGTGAAAGGCTTTTACTTAAATAAAGAAAAGGGGATAGTGCAATTTTCAGACACGTCTTTAATGCAGCTTCTTCAAACTTGTAGACTTTATTTGGGAAATGGTGTGTTGTGGTTAGTACGTGAGTGCATTCTCTGAGGACTATCTAAAATACAAATAAAATATACATACTTCTATGATAACCATCATCTACTTTCATCGGATTCTCTGTGTCCGCTTCCCTGTATGTTTGTATTACTGAATTTTGATACCGCACATGACCGTGGTGCTAGTAGTGCCACAGTGGGGGAGAAGGACTAGTAAATCCATCGTTGTGCTCTTCTGCACTACAGCTACAGCATTGCTGGATCTGGGCATGCCCAAGCAGTTCCATCAGACTTAGTCTTCTTAAGCTGATTCGCAGCTTGAAATTAAATTGGACACTTCAGATAAAACAAACAGTTTGAAGACTGCATTAGTCATAGACAACTAGTGCTGGAGGATACCTCAAGAGATGCCTGTGCATCATCACAAATAAGTTTGTTTAACCTGTTCTATAAACAAGTTAAGGCAAAGGCAATTACACTGCCTGCCAAGGTAGCTTATTCCAAAGCGTCATTACCTTGTCAGTTCAAAAGTTTGGGTTGGTTTTATTTCTCTTCCAAATTACTAGTGCTGCAAGTTTAAGCTGTCCTTCTCAAAAGGTGAAGTGTTGCCATCAGAGCCTGAAGAACTGTTGGTGATAAAGTGCTTGCTTGCTTAAGTAGCTGTTAAACACTTCTGCGATAGATCTATTTGTAAGAAAGATAAATAATCCTATTTACAAGTACGTAGTCATAAATACTGCACAGTAATAAAAGTATTGGATACAGGTCCTTTTTTTTTTTTTTTTTTCTTTCTGAACTAACTTTAGGTCTCTGGTTAGAGGTGTTGGCAGAGATAAAGACGCTTAAGTTGGCTTCAGCCACAGTAACTCTGGAGTTTCAAACCCTGGGAAGCGTGATGCAGACGCACTTGGCCAGGAATCCAGGCTAATTAACCTGTGATGCCTCCCTCGCTGGTTCAGGGTGTTTGCATGCTATCACGTACTCCTCTGGGGACTTTCTGGCTCAGGGAGCTCTGGAGTGTGCTCCACTGTCTGGCATACACTTGTGAAGTGTACTTCAGGTAACGCATGCTGGTACTGCTTCTCCTGCAGCACATGAACAGCTGGTGGAAATTATTCTCGCTTCAGCAGCTGATAATCGGCCCCTCTCTTTAGGACAAGACATCTAGCTGGCCAAGAAAAAGGAAAGACTCCTTTTATCCTCTCCCACAACCACCTGTGGCATTAGTTGAAGTTTGTACAAAGGGTTAAAAGAGTGAGCGTAACTGTTAAGTTATTCTTGATGCACTGGATATTAACTCACAGTTCAGGGACCAGTAATGCTCTTTTTCTTGCTCTCTGTCTTAAGCTCTGCTACGTTATGCCATCATCCAGCGCAAGATGTGCTCAGTTTCCTCGTGCGCAAGATAAAGTTCATTATTACATAAAGCTTAAAGACTTAAGGGATCAACTGAAAGGCATTGCACCAAACACAGAGGTGCAGGAGGTGCAGTACACATTTGACTTGCAACTTGCACAAGGTATAGTAGTTATTTTGTTAGTCCTTTATTAAAATGTAAAGTACAACACAACTAGCAGTTTCCCAGGCAAGAAGAAATAAAGAATTTAAGGGGAGGGAAGAGATGTGCCATCTTCTCTAAATCACGTGGCATAGAATTACACGTTCCGCTCTCTTAGTACAGCTTTATTTACCTAAGGGGAGCAGGCATTATCTTGTAAAATGCGTGGCTGTTTTTTCAAGTGTTCTCTGATAAAAATGCTCTTTGATCGGTGGTGTTCTGAATATTAATACTTGAAGTCTTCTCTTTCGGCAGAGGATGCTAAAAAGATGGCTGTCAAAGAGGAGAAATATGATCCAGGTTATGAAGCAGCATATGGAGGAGCTTACTGTGATCGTGCACCATATGAAAGTGACCAGTGCAATTTCTCTTCAAATGGAACTGGTAAAGTGCGGTGCTTGGGGTATTCGGTCTGTAAACCAGTACTTATGAACAAATACTTAATTTTCTACCCTTTCAGTGGCTTCCACAATTCATACAATGTTTTTGAAGTATAGCAGCAGTTAAACTCTTACATAATTGAAGGCCTGTATAGTTTCTGTGAGAGGGAAACAAGTCCTTTATTTAAAATAAACTGTCTGCAACTTCCGACTGTTTTCCCAAACTGACTGACTCCCAAGATCTGACAGACAGACACAACTAGTGACTTCCACAGCAAACCTCTTGAGCTGCGATGACTTGTCTAACTACGTCGTGCTTTCCAGAGCAAAAGAGGGGGCTGCTACTTCTTTGTTTTCACCCCAAAGGAAAGCAGAGCCAGAGAATGGCAGGACAGATAAAATGACAGCGCAGTTGGGGTTGTTCTGTTGCTGGTGGGTCAGATGAGGGAGCAGTGCTGAAAGGATGAGTCTAGTAATCTAGCTGTAATTAAGAAGCTGGGCATTTTACTTTCCAAAATACCACCAACTAATTAAAAAAATTATGAGAAACAATGGCAGAAGTGGTAACTTTGGAGTAACCTTCTTTCTCTGAAGTCTTCAATTTTCAGTCCTAATCTCACTTACGTTCTCAATTGAAATTTGCATTCTATCTATCTATCTACCCTACTTTTGAAAAAAATTTGTTCATAGGAAACACTGTGAAGTGAGGTGTTATTTTAAACATTTAGACTCTTTATATATACACAGTCACCCTTCAAAGAAAATTTGAAGAAATTCTAATTTGAGGAAATGATCTGGATCTACAAAAGTAGATGCTCAGAAGAAATAAGTTTGAACTGCAGCCTCAGTAGGTGGTTGAAAAAAAGAGAGGCAAGATGGAAACTGCAAATATCTTTATGGTTTTTTAGGGGTTGCTTTGGGAGCTTGGGATTGTTTTGTGATTTTAGGGCGTTTTTTTGCTAGTAGCATCATCTGTATTTTAATGGTTTAGTTTTAGTGGTATCAACTACATTTTAAAAACTGCATTTTATTATTTTTGTTTGGTTTAGCAGCGAGCAATCCGCAGTACGGTGAGGGGCCATCCTTCGGTGAAGTTCCTAATGGACAATGGATGACGCAGTCCTTTGCAGACCAGATCCCAGAGTTCAGTGCTGGTGTGACACGGGAAGAAGAGGGAAGCAGTGCGTGAGAGCTGTTTCTTCTCAGCTATGCATACATGCTGCAGTTTTAATGCAGTGATCAAGATTGGTACCTCGGTTCTCCAACTGAAGCGTTTTAATAGTATTTTATCTCCCCTAGTTATTTTAGTCTAAAGTAAGTGTGTGGTAGGCTCAAATCAATGAACTAGGTAATTTTAAGGAACTGTCCAAACTTTTTTAAAAAAAGTTAACCCTTTTTTGTATATGAGTTTTATATTTAATGTATACCATTTCTTGCAGTTTTTGACAAATTTCTTTCTCATTTGTGAAGATTTCTTTGGGGCGTTAATTTTATTGCATAAATGGTCATGTAGTAGTAACAGCAGCAGGATACTTTTCCTGGTGCTTCAATATTTGGCTATCTTGTCATCCTTTTATATCCAGAGGGGAAAATGGGAAGTGTACCCTTATCTTACACAAAGTGGTGTTTTTAATCATGCACAATTAAGCAAATTGTGCTTTTTAAGCCTGCCTTTTACCTTCTTAAGAAGTGCAGAAAGTTGTGTTCTGCAGCTGTGAGTACTGAGTATTTTCTGGGTGGGAAGAGAGGGCTCTGTCTGGTTAGCGATTGGACCATAATCCAGATTACGGGAGTGGAGACATCATCTCAAGTCACAACACTGGGGAGCAAAATTTGTGTCACACAGGACAGGGCCTAAATACACTACCTGAGCTGTCGTAGGGTAAGGTGTCCCTACCGTTCCTTCTCTTTCCTCTTTAAATTCCAATGTAAGGAACTGGAATTCCTTAAAAAAAGAAACAAAACCAACATACCCAAAACAAAAAACCCAACGGTGGTTGTTGAATTCTGTGGCATTTAAACTCTCAGTCATTTCTATGCGAATAGTCTCTCCACCTAACCTTTAGCAGGAGACCGTCCCTTTGAACAGATTGCATCACAGGGAATTGAAAGACCACATTCCCTGTAAAAATCACGTCCAGCTATGTTGTCACATCAGGTACAATTAGCACAGGGTGAAAGGGTTGCGATTTAGCAGTTTGTAACATTCAGTTCTCTTCAATCTTTTAAGACCTTAGAGGGTGTTCTCCTCCTTACTCCTCTTGAAGTAAGAAATACTAAGTAAGTTAAGGGCAGCTGTTCCACACATAAGTCAGCTGTAGAAACTACAGCTCTCTTCTGAGGAACTTGCTTAAACGATACGTGTTTTTTGGCCAATATTAATGACTGAGAAAGAAGTGAGAGTCCATGCTTGTGCCTAACCTCGTCATCTTTCCCTCTTTTATCATGTGAGGAAGAGATGAAGTAAAAGCAATAAGCTGATCAAAACATTAAAGTTTTGATGATCTTATGACAGTAGGTGCTTCACATACTTGAAAAATAAGATACAAACGGTATCTATCTCCACTGTCCACGCTGGTCAGATTCCTGTACCAGTGTGTTTTATCCTTTCCTCACAGCCAGTGACAGTTGTCATGCATTGAGTGTAACTTAGTTGGTATAGATTCTAATCCTGCTGTAACAGCTCTCACTGAGATCACACACTGTCAACCTGTTGTGAGGCGGACATGATGTTTACAGTTTTCTTCCCAAATTACGTGGCTTAATTCTGAGCGTCTTAAATCAAGAAAGTGTGCATTATGATTCTGACTGTGTTTATTAGCTTCAGCATAAAGCTGTTCAGTATATTGTCAAAAAGGTATAGGATTTGTCTTGTCTGTTATTTAAAGTGTACTGTATCATGTATTGCTGTTTACATGGACGTTTTCCTGCAGGTGCTCAAAGCATCTTGCATCAGGGATTTGTTACAATTCAATTTTATTTTTCAACAGAATTAGAAGCATGTAGTTAGCACGGCTGAGTATGTAGCACAGTAGGATATAACTACTGGAAGGCTATCCTGTTTGATTGGAAGGGAAAGGTCTCCTCTTTAACGGAGTCACCTACTAGGTTACCTAGGTATAAAATACAGTGAAGTGTACAATGACTGTTTCACTAAATATTGCAATTCTGTGTGTACTCCCTCAGAACTGGTGCTCTTTTCATTACAGTAATGCAGAAGCTCTTAATCTGTCTTAAATCTATCAATATTTCACAATAAAATCAGGAATTGTATTGCAGTGTCTGCGAATGTACTTTTGCAGCTTGCTCGCAGGGGCCTAAATCCGCTACAGGACGTGTACTGCACAGAACCACCACAGAACAGTCACTGTGCAACAGTACTCGACTCATGAAAATGCTACGTAAGCCTTCATTTCAGGCTGTTCACTGTGGGCTAGACAACTAGAGACACCTTGTATGTAATACTGCAAGTATTTCCTGTGTGGATTTTTCTACCAGCAGGCATTGGAGTCTTATTTATAAAGACTTTCCATTAAACCACACTGTCTGGTACTGAATTTCACTTCTACAAATATTTAATGAAAATACTTCATTGTCAAGTAAACCTGTTTCCTCATCTCACGTGTAAGTTGAGATAACCTGAACTGTGTCACTGTCACTCCAGCCTCCCTCTCCACCTATAAGCACACAAAACTGATTGTCATTTATTCATATATTTAACAAAGACTTCATTTTCTAAAATCTGTTAATTGTACAACATGTTGCATCTCAAACTATTACATACCGCAAAACATAGCGTATTGATGCATTTAAGTGTTTTCAGTATCAGCTATCGGGACGAGTTAATTTGAACTTCCCTGAAGGGTCAGGAATAAACCAGTTTTCCCAGAGATCGGTGTGAACGCTGGGATAGTCCCAAGGTTTATATCTCCCATTCCAATGAAGTAATTTAGCTTCTTGAAGAAAATGCTCTGAGTAACGGGTATCGGGACTCCAACCTGCATGGGAAGATTTAAAAAAAAACCATAATGGAAGACACTATAGAGTGAGGTAAATGCAGGTTTTTTTTTTTAAGAAGTCAAATTACTATGGCTTCACCTGTTAATAGACAACTAGTTAGTTAAAGTAGCTTTTTTCAGCTTCATGCCTCTCATTCTACATCAGCAAAAAATCTCAGCTAGTTTCCCCTCTCTTAACACTTTTAACATTTTGGCATAGCTGGGGTTTAAAAAAAAATAAAATCCTTCTACTAGTCATTTTACTATACCAGGTCAACCATTATCTTTTTCTCTGGATGATTCACCATTCCTAGACGAAAGGTAACTACATCCTCCAGACTGCCAACTACACAAACGTGGCCAGGCATCCCGTCTTCTTCCACTGTGCCTACCAAAAGTATGTCTGATTTTTTTTTTTCCCCCCAGTCTCACTATATTCATATCTTTCATACATTCTTTCCATAGTTTATGACAGTACAGGTTAGCTGGTCTTCAACCATGTAACCTTGTCCTTGGTAGTTGGGGGGTTTTTTCCCTTTTTTTTTTTTTAATCCAATTCAATGACTATTAGTGTTTCGGGTTTTTGCAGTGGTGCAACTATTTTGTTTGCTTGAGCTGTTCAGATATTTGCATAATGACAGCCCTGAGGAACCTCCCCACTCTGCCCTACCCCGCAGAAAGCGGGAGTAATGAGCACTGGGGGAAGCAGGGATTACATGCTCTGGATCGGAGGTATTAGGTAATGCATTGAGGTAAAGTAACGTAAGGTACTATGTTGGAATCTTACGAACCGCTCGCTTGATTTAGTTCCAACTGCAAACAGTGGGAAGTTAAACTTACCAAGATGCCTTATGTGCCACATGGGATTAATAGTGGAATACTTTCCGTGAAATACAATCAGCATTGGAGAGGTTGCCACGCCTCCCCCAAGGGTGCTGCTGTAGAGGTTTTCCCTGCAAAAGGGAAAAAACCCAAAAGGTTCAAAACCTCAATCAAAGAATCTTTAGTACAAAAGGCAGAAAATTAAAAAACAAGTATTCTGGCAAAATTAAAAATAATTTTGAACAGACTAATTTTCAGCATACTCTTTCCTAATGCTGTTAATTACTTGTATTTGCAACTCCAATTCCTGTAGAGTAAGTTGTTGCTACCAAGGAAAATGGGAGTCAGACCCAACATGATGCCAATTACTTCTACGTACCTCCTATAGTCTACCAGGCTGACAAAGCTTACAGTAGGAAAAAAGCTGTTTACGTAAAGGAATCAAACATGTTAGCCTGGTTTCTTAAGAAAATGTACATGTTTCCATGTGTTTCATTCCCTCTCTCTTCCCTTTTCCCTCATCCCCCAGCTTTTAGACCCATGAATTAACTTCAGATCAGATTTTGCCAAAGTCCAGTCAGTATAAACTAACATCTAAAGGATTTCCTAAAAATTCCGTGATGAATCCAGGGCCAGGTAAAGTCAAGTGACTGTAAGGAGAGCCATTAGGAGGTAACAGCCAGATCTCTGGCTGCAGTGTGCTTGAGGCCTGGCCGGCCAGCTGGCACCCCTGGGACACTGTGCCACCCACCTAGCCCAACGGGCAGGAAACCCGGGAAGTACCGAGGGTTGCTTGGAGGCTACGGAACAACAAAAAATTATAAGCTCCCCTCAAAAGTGGGTTTCAACTGCTAAGCAATTTATTTCACTGTCATTTCAAAAATGCAGCTAAAAGGAACACGAATGTGTTATAAGGTATAAAATCAACTTTATAGATAAAATTTGCAGTAATATTCATGGAGTTTTTTCAAACGCTTAAAAAGCCCAGCAAGAGCTTGTCGGGATACGTTACATAAGCGGAGTAAGAAAAAGCGCCATTTGGCTTTTCATCTGTTCACATGCTTGGCATTTGTGTCCCTCCTCCTTGGTCCATTTCTGAAACTAACAAGTAATGGACATAGTCCAATAGCACAAGCTGTTCAGTTTCAGTTCAGCCTTACTAAATTTAAATTTAACCCTTTGCAGAGACAGAAAATAATTGTCAAGTTTGCAAATACGGGTTAACAGTGAACCAACATAAAGAAATGAACAGTGATTGTTTCACTGTGTCATGACCTATTCATGGTCAATGCCAAAAAGATCTCTTTCATGTCAAATTTCTTTCATCTATAGAAAAATAAGTGTTTTCTATTGGTATTTAAGAAATATGGTGTCCAGTTACAGTTTGGCTGACATCATTGCGTTAGGAGAGACCCCACACACACAAGGGAAGATTCCTCCTTGAAGCCAGCCTCAGGCAAGGAAGAAACCTAAGTGGCTTGATCCCAAGTGAGGTTGGTCACCCAAAACAAGGACCACGTGTTCCCAACGTTCCTCAAGATTAAACATAGTTTGTGATTAAACACAAGACTAAAATTCCAGGTGGCCATTTCCTGGTACACAACTGGTCAGATTTAAGCAGACAGAAATTCTGGAACACGAGTTACTTTGCTTGATGAGATCTCAAAGAAAGACTGCTTGGAGTTAAAAAACTTTTAGGAGCTCTTAAACGGAAAAATAAAACTGTAAAGTGAGTATTAAAAGTAAAAGCCAAAGCTAGATTTCTACACATACTCTACATTTCTTTGCATCCACTTTTCCAACTGCTTTGTAATCCGTTGATGTTTCCATTCAGTCATGTTAGCCACAATTACTCCAGGATTAA